CCTGGTGCTGGGAAGTCCTAAAGGCTTTCCAAAGGAGTAAATTCTAGGCTATACTTTTTCATGTAAGTTAAAAGTTACACAGAAGGGGATATGGGATAAGAAGAGAGTCCACGCACAAGAAAGAGACTGGTCTAGAGTGAAGGGTGGAGTGTTGAGAGATATGGCTGTACACGTAGACAAGGTTCAGATCACACAGGAGTCTATAGGTCATGTTAGGGATCTTAGACTTCCTCCCAAGAGCTATAAAGAGCAATTGATGAGTTTCAAACAGTGGAAGGATTTCAGCGAATTTGAAGTTCTGAAAGACAACTCCAGTGGAGAATGACAGAAGGCTCAGAGACCAGATGGGAGGCTGTTGCAGTGAAACAGTAGAGAGATGACACCATGGACTAGGAATGGTGGCGGTAGGAATAGAAAAAGTGGATTTGGGAGAGGTTAGGAAGTAAAATCATCCCCACCTGGTGACAGGTTGGAGGTGGAGATGAAGGAACAGAAGAGTCAGGGATGACTATCAGGGATTTTGTTGGCACTCATTGATTGACCAGTGAGTGCCTTTTTTCTTTCTTGCTTGTTTGTATTTTTTCATTCTTTCTCTTTTTTTTTGTTTTTGTTTTTTCACTTTGCCTTTTTTGTTTGTTTTTGCTTACTTTTTAAATCTACCTTAAATGAACAATTTTTTTCTTTTTTACTTTTTATTTATTCATTTGAGAGCAAGAAACATCAGCTGGTTGTTGCACTCATTGATGTTTTCCCTCGTTGCTTCTTTTTTAAAAATATATTTTATTGATTATGCCATTACAGTTGTCCCATTCCCCCTTCATTCCCCTCCACCCTGCACACCCCTCCCCCACCATTCCCCCCTCTTTAGATTATGTCCATGTGTCACAAGTTCTTTAGATTTTATATTTCCCATACTATTCTTGTCCTCCCCCTGTCTACTTTCTACCTACCATCTATACTCTGGTTTCTCTTCAGATAGTATAAATCTTTCACCTCTTACCTACTATCTATGCTACTTAATTCTATGTACCTTCTCCCCCCTTCTCCTCCTCCCACTCCCCTGTTGCTAACCCTCCTTGTAATCTCCATTTCTATGGTTCTGCTCCTGATCTAGCTGTCCACTTAGTTTGCTTTTGTTTTGGGTGTGGTTGTTAATAACTGTGAGTTTGCTGTCCTTTCACTGTTCATATTTTTTCTCTTCTTTTTCTTAGATAAGTCCCTTTAACATTTTGTATAATAAGGGCTTGGTGATGATGAACTCCTTGAATTTGACCTTATCTGGGAAGTACTTTATCTGCCCTTCCATTATAAATGAAAGCTTTGCTGGATAGATCAATCTTGGATGTAGGTCTTTGGATTTCATGACTTGGAATACTTCTTTCCAGCCCCTTCTTGCCTGTAAGGTCTCTTTTGAGAAGTCTGCTGACAGTCTGATGGGGACTCCTTTGTAGGTGACTGTCCCCTTATCTCTTGCTGCTTCTAGGATTCTCTCCTTCATTTTAATCTTGGCTAATGTAATGATGATGTGCCTTGGTGTGTTCCTTCTTTTTTTCTTTTTTTATTGATTATGCCATTATAGTTGTTCTATTCCCCCCTCATTCCCCTCCACCCTACCCCCCATCCCCACCACTACCCCCCCTTTAGTTTATGACCATGTGTCTCAAGTTCTTTAGATTCTATAGTTCCCATAATATTCTTGCCCCCCATCTATTTTCTATCTACTGTCTATGCTACTTATTTTCTGTACCTTCTCCCCCCTTCTCCTTCTCCCACTTCCCTGTTGCTAACCCTCCTTGAGATCTTCCTTTCTATGTTTCCACTCCTGATCTAGCTGTCCTTTTAGTTTGCTTTTGTTTTAGGTGTGGTTGTTAATAATTGTGAGTTTGCTGTCCTTTCACTGTTCATGTTTTTTTTTTAACTTCTTTTTCTTCGATAAGTCCCTTTAACATTTCATATAATAAGGGCTTGGTGATGATGAACTCCTTGAATTTGATCTTATCTGAGAAGCACTTTATCTGTCCTTCCATTCTAAATGAAAGTTTTGCTGGATAGAGCAATCTTGGTTGTAGGTCTTTGGATTTCATGACTTGGAATACCTCTTTCCAGCCTCTTCTTGCCTGTAAGATCTCTCTTGAGAAATCCACTGGCAGTCTGATGGGAGCTCCTTTGTAGGTGACTGTTCCCTTATCTCTTGCTGCTTCTAGGATTCTCTTCTTCATTTTAATCCTGGCTAATGTAATGATGATGTGCCTTAGTGTGTTCCTTCTTGGGTCCAACTTCTTTGGGACTCTCTGAGCTTCCCGGATTTCCTGGAAGTCTATTTCCTTTGCCAGATTGGGGAAATTCTCCTTTATTATTTGTTCAAATAAGTTTTCCACTGGTGGCTGTTCCTTTCCCCCTTCTTGTACCCCTATAATTCGGATGTTGGAATGTTTAAAGATGTCCTGGAGGTTCCTAAGCCTCTCCTCATTTTTTTGAATTCTTGTCTCTTCATATTTTTGTTTGGTCATTTTTTTCTTCCTTCTGGTCCACTCCATTGATTTGAGTCCCTGTTTCCTTTCCATTACTATTGGTTTCCTGTGCATTTCCCTTCATTTCAATTAGTTTAGCCTTCATATGTTCCTCTAATTTGTGACTAAAATCAATAAGTTCTGTGAGCATCCTGATCACCAGTGTTTTGAACTGTACATCTGAAAGTTTGGCTATCTCTTGGTTGCTTAGAATGATTGGCTCTGGGGCTTTGAGTTGTTCTCCTGCTTGAGCCATAATGTTTTGGTCTGTTCGCACCTGTTATGTCTGAGGGGCGGAGCCTTAGGTGTTCACCAGGGCAGGGGTGACCCAGTTGCAGGGTTGTGATGTTGTATGTAGGGGTGAGGTCAGAGAGGGGCAATGGCGTTTGTTCTGCTCTCTCTCACATTTCTGTCCCCTCTGCCGCTTTCCCATAAGCAAATTGGGCCCTTCTGGTGCTGGTTCCTGGGTGTGTGTGCTTGGGTACCCTCCAGGACCCTGTGGGTCTCTCCAATGAACTCTCCCAGCACCTTGACCCGAAAAGTCTTTCCAATTGGTGCTTTCAGGCTCTAATTCCTGTTGCTGGGGCCCTAGCCTAAGCGGTCTGTCTCACTGTTTGCTCCTTCGCTTGGTTTACCTGTGCTTGAATGCGTGACTGTGGTCAGCCAGCCGCCTTGTGCCCTCACTGGGTCTGCCTATTGCTACCCTGCGCCTGGTATCTGCCAACCCCCACTTGCACTCCTAGGTTGGTCCATTGATCTTTCCTGCCTGACCCTGCTCCGCAAGCCGCTGACTCCGCCCCTCTTACTGGTCTGGCTGAATGGTTTGTTGTTGTTGGACTTCCATGTAGTTCAATTTTCTGTGTTTTGGCTGCATTTAAGTTACTAAAACTTTGTTGTCTTTAAACCTGGTTGTGTGAGGAGGCACAGTGTTTCCACTTATGCCTCCATCTTTGCTGAAATTCCTTGTTGCTTCTTGTATGTGCATTGACCAGAGATTGAACTGTCAACCTTCACATATTGGAACAACGCTTTCTCCAACTGAGCTACCCAGCAAGAGCCAGACCAGTGATTTTCAACCAGTGTACTGTGGTACACTGGTGTGCTACAGGAATTTTTAAAACATATGATACCTGATTATTTAGTCACTGGCATTGACCTCTTTTCTCTTAGATTGTCAAATTTAAGAAATGACAACAGCCAATACCGCAACAGTGGTCCTGTGTGAATGCTCTGTCTTGATCCATAAATATATAGGTCGTAAAATAGAGCTGCATCTTATTGGTCACATTGTATAATAAGTTTGCCTCTGACTGGTTAATTCTTGGTACCAGAAATCCTTATATAAAAGTATAGGCATCTGATTTATTTAAAAAGTTGCTTTGGGCCCTGGCTGGTGTGGCTCAGTGGACTAAGCACCAGCCTGTGAATCAAAGGGTCACCGTTTTGATTCCTAGTCAGGTCGAATGCCTGTGTTACAGGACAGGTCCCTGTTGGGGGCTTGTAAGAAGCAGTGGATCAATGTTTCCCTCATGTACATCAATGTTTCTCTTCCTCTCTTTCTCCCTCCATTCCCTTCTCTCTAAAAGATAAATGAAATCTTAAAAAAGGTCACTTTGGAACAAAAAGGGTAGGTAGGTAATTACTATTTTTTTTTTTGTAAATCAGTCGAAATTGTACCTATTTTTTGTCAGATCACCAAAAAATATGTATTTTTTCCAGTGTGCTGAAGAATTTTAGTAATCAGTTTGTGTGCCATGAGATGGAAAAGGTTGAAAATTGCTTGGCTAGATAAATGAATGTATGATGGTACATTCACCAGGCTGGGCAACACAGGAGGATAAGCTACTTGGATGATGAGCTCAGTTTTGAATATATTGTCTTAGTGTCTTTGGAAAACCCAAGAAATCCAAAAGGCAGTGGGACCTATGCGTTTGGGTCTCAGGAGAGGGATCTGGGCCACTGGAGTACAGGTGGTAGGTGAGTGCAAGGGGATGGATGAGAATGACCCGTGTTTGTGTAGCATAAGGAAAGAAGAGGGCAGGTTAACAAAGAACCTAAGTCTGGGAGCAGGTTAATTTTCATGAAGAGCAGAGGAAGAGGAGTCCACAGAGGAGAATGAGAACAGCCAGCCAGAAAGATAAGAGGTAAGCCAGGAAAATTAGTGTTATGAGTACCAAGGTAGGTGTGGCCATGAGTATGCAGGCTGCAGAAATCAAGTAAGACCATAATGGAGAAGTGTCCAGTGGACACAGAGGGATGGGGGGCACTGGCAACCTTGGGAAGAACTGAGCCAATAGAGGGGTGCGGTGAGACAAGAAACCAGCCCAGAGTCGGGTGAGAAGGCAGAGGGAAGTGAGGGTTAAAATTAGGCAACTCTAAGAATGTAGCTATAAAGAGGAAGTGAGAATGGCAGCTGGAGAGATTTCTAAAAGCTGGATGAGGGTGGTGGTTGGAGTTCTCCCCAGTGGGAGAGAGTAGAGCCAAAAGGAGGGCTTGGGGGAAAGTTGTGGAAGGGGGTGATAAGGGCCTATGTCGGGAAGGAGACTGTTCACTGGGTCACATGAGCCCCTATCAGGCTGGCATTTCCTCTCCATCCTCTTCCTGCCTCTGATCAGCCCTCCCTGGAGCTGGAAGAAGGACCGAGTCACACCCTGGAAGAAGCTGTGCCTTTGGAGGTTTTTCTGCCTGCCTGTAAGCTGGGGCTTCAAATGGGAGACAAAGGGGTCTGAGGGAGGGATGAGGGCCAAAGACCTGGAGCTAGCAGTTTAGGGTTTGAGGGGCAAAGATGGGAGAGGGGAGTGGAGAATATGGGAGGTGTGGGAGTCAAACTTCTGGAAAGGACCCTAGAGGTTTCAGTGACGGCTAGGGCCTGGGGGAGTAATGTAGGGAGCCAGTGGGGTGCCCACTCAAAGTCCCCTTGCCCACAGGTCCCCATGCCGCTCTTCCTCTTGCTGCTCCTGCTGCCAAGCCCCTCATGCCCCCAATCCACCTGTGAGACTTCCAAAGTGGTCAACCTGTTGGAAGTGAACTGTGATAATCGGGGGCTGAAGGCGCTGCCTCCAGATTTGCCAGAAGCCACAGCCATCCTCCACCTGAGCGAGAACTCCTTTGGCACCTTCTCCACGGTGCCCCTGGTGCCTCTGACTGCCCTTACTCAGCTGCACATGGAGAACAGCCAGCTGACCAGCCTGCAGGCTGACGGGGTGCTGCCACTGCTGGAGATCCTGGAAATACCCCACAATAAGTTGGCAAGCCTGCCCTTGCTAGGAGGGGCACTGCCAGCACTCACTACCCTGGATGTCTCCTACAACAAGCTGACCTCTTTGTCTCCTGATGCCCTGAATGGCCTGAGCCAACTCCATGAGCTCCATCTGCGTGGCAATAAGCTGAAGACTCTGCCCCATGGGCTCCTGGCATCCACACCCCAGCTCAGGAAGCTCGATCTGGCTGACAACCAGTTGATGGAGCTTCCCCCTGGGCTCCTGGATGGGTTGCAGGAGCTTGACACCCTCTTCCTCCAAGGGAACTGGCTGCGCACCATACCAAAGGGCTTCTTCAGGGATCTCCTCCTGCCTTTTACTTTTCTCCATAACAACCCCTGGTACTGTGACTGTGGCATCCTTTATTTCCATCTCTGGCTGAAAGACAATGAAAACAATGTCTACTTATGGATGGAGGGTGTAGATGTCAAGGCCATGACCCCCAATGTGAATAGTGTGCGATGTGTCAATGGGGCCAAGACACCCATCATTGATTTCTCAAAGGAGGGCTGTCCCCCTCTGAATGGTGGTGATTACACAGATGACTATGATGATAGCTCTGAAGTTGGGAGTAATTCAGTGCCTACAAGGGCTGTCATCACCAACACCAAAGGCAACACAACCCACTGGGGCCTGCTCTACTCAGAATCTGCTACTTTTCTACACAGTCAAATGCTCCACTTGCCTCCAACCGAAGAATCCACTAAGAAACAGACGACATTCCCAACCACCAGAGAACCCATCACATTCTTCAAAACTCCAAAACCCACTACTGAACCCACCACAACCCCAACCACCCCAGAACTCACAACCCCACCCACCTCAGAACCCATCACAACCCTGTCCACTCCAGAACCCACAACCCCAACCACCCCAGAACCCACAGCCCCACCCAGCACAACCCCGACCACCCCAGAACCCACCACAACCCCGACCACCCCAGAACTCACAACCCCACCCACCTCAGAACCCATCACAACCCTGTCCACTCCAGAACCCACAACCCCAACCACCCCAGAACCCACAGCCCCACCCAGCACAACCCCGACCACCCCAGAACCCACCACAACCCCACCCAGCACAACCCCGACCACCCCAGAACCCACCACAACCCCACCCAACACAACTCCGACCACCCCAGAACCCACAACCCCATCCACCACAACCTTGACCTACCCAGAACCCACCACAATCCAGACCATCTCAGAACCAACGATACTTTCAACCACCACAGAATCCACCTCACTCCCTACATTAGAATCTACAATTATCTCTGAATTCATTGACCCCGCAAAGGTCCGTGAGGTGGCTCAAGGGAATGTGGCCAGCTCCAGAAATGACCCTTTTCTCAACCCTGACTTTTGCTGTCTCCTCCCCCTGGGCTTCTACATCTTGGGTTTCCTCTGGCTCCTGTTTGCCTCTGTTGTCCTCATCCTGCTGCTGACCTGGGTCCGGCACATGAAACCACAGGCCCTGGACTTTGGCCAGTCTGTTGCCCTGGCCACAGCCAAGCACACCACATGTGTGGAGCTGCAGAGGGGAAGGCAAGTGGCTGTGCCCCAGGCCTGGCTGCTTTTCCTTCGAGGGACACTCCCAACTTTCCGCTCCAGCCTCTTCCTGTGGGTCCGGCCTAATGGCCGTGTGGGACCTCTGGTGACAGGACGGTGGCTCTCAGCCCTGAGTCTGGGTCGCGGGCAGGACCTGCTGGGCACAGTGAGCGTTAGGTACTCTGGCCACAGCCTCTGAGGGTGAGTGATTTGGGGACTTTAGGGGTTCTGATGAGCTTTCTTATGAGGATATGGCTGGGGCAGGGTGGGAGTAAAAAGCACAGGGTTGGGGGAAGTCTTAATCACTCTTCCTTTCTCAGAAGTCTCCTCTTTACACGACAGAAACACCTCAGACCCAGCAAACCAGTAGGGGTAGTGAGATGAGCTGGGTGGGTCATTGAAAACGGTTCCCAGTGCTCCATCAAATGGGGATGGGGGTGTTTCGCAGACTACTAGGTTATTACCACTTTGGGGAAGTTTTAGAAAAAAGCAAATAAAAACAAGCATACAGCAAGGACTCCACTATTATCTGTGTATTAAAAATTTGAAGGAACTTACCAAGATGTGAGCCCTAATTGTCTCTGGGTGGTATAAATATGGTTTTCCTTTCCTCCGCTTGGCATTCTCTAGTTTTCTACCATCATGTTATTTGCATAATAAAAACTAATTTCAAGCCCTGGCTGGTGTGGCTCAGTGGATTGAGTGACAGCCTGTGAACCAAAGAGTTGCTGGTTCAATTCCCAGTCAGGGCACATGCCTGGGTTGCAGGGCAGGTCTCCAGTAGGGGGGCATGCAACGGGCAATCACACATTGATGTTTTTCTCCCTTCCTCCCCTCTCCTCTCTAAAAATAAATACAATCTTTAAATTTTTTAAAGGAAATTATTAACAAAATAATTTTGAAAAGAAGAATTAGGCTCTTTTGGAGAAGAGTGGCTGGGACACCTGTCCCTAGCAATCCCATGGCCCTGACTACACCCACTCTAGTTGCACTACTCACCCAAAAAGCTCTAGTCTTAGCTTGCACTTCCCGTGCATGGGGTGCCTACCTCTCTCCTCCAGGGGTGACCACACTCCAGGCTGTGCCAAGCACTGGTTCCAGATCAAGAACTGTGAGGTTCCCTGGAGGTCGGTAACACTACTGAGGCCCACCTGTCTTGGCCCTCAGTACTAGGACTGAATGAGGATGCCTGAGCATACCTGTGGCCTCAGAAACACAGCTTTCCTGCTCTGTTCAGGTAAGTGGGACAGAAGAAAGGTGGGGTTTTGCTGAATGGTCTCTGTTTCCTACTGTCAAGCTAGGACGCATGCAAATGGAACCCACTCCTTACACCTGGTGCCAGATTTTCCTATTCTCCTTGGGGCTTTCTCTCTCACCTTGGCTCCATCCCAAACCAAGACCTGGGGCCCAGTTAATGGAAAGACTGAGGCTTTCTGGCTCCACAGAGAACCCCTCCCCAAGATGGTGCTAGAAGAATCTTCCTAACTTGAAAACCTGACTGCATTTCTACTGCTCTGAACTCTTTCTCTGATAGAGAACTCCTGAGCTTGGCAACCAAGGACTTCTGTGCATTGATCCATAGAACACTCTGGCTTCAGCTCTTAAAAACAAACACCTCACCACCTGTGCCCCAGCTATTGCAAACATCACATAGATCACCTGCTCCCCAGCCTTTGTCCTTTAAGCCACTGCTCTCAAGTCAGCCACGAGTAATGCCCTGCCCCCCTTCCCCAGGCAGTCTAACTGCTACAGAGCACAGGTCTCTCCTCCCCTAGGCAGAGCCAAGTGCTTTAACTTACCCAGCAACCGGTCTACTGCTACACTCCCAGTTCCCTAACTGCTCCTGTCATCTTCCCCTCCAGATTTAGAAATCCTTAAATACAAGGTTCAAGTGTCTCAAAGAGGCCACTATGTCCCATGCTGGCATGTACGGGGAGCAGGTAGACAGGCAGCGGTGAGAAGGCCCAGCAGGGAGGCCAGGTTGCTGAGCTCCACCTCTTTATCAAGAGGCCCTCCCACCTGTCTGCCTGTCCCCTACCCTGGCTCAGAAGACTCAGGGCCTCCTACAGCCCAACTCTCCTTCTAGTTGACCTTCCCATGCCTTTTTATGCCCCAAGAGGTTTTTAGGCTCCTTAAGGGAAAGGCTCGAGAATCACACAAAAAGATATTGCAGTCACTCTCCCCCACTTAGTGTCCAGATCAAGTCTCTGGCCAACAACCTGTTTCCTCAAATCTCCGGGCTTTGGGCACCTGGCTCCTGTGTTCACTGCCTCAAGCCTGGCCCATCCACCCGCTGCAGGTCAACCTTCACTTCTCCGATTCTTTATTCCCTCCCCCTTAAGGCCATAAAAGCAGTCACCAGACACCGGAGACTTTTCCTGGGGATTATGTGAGATGACTTGTGCTGACTTGTGCATCTTGGGCAAGTGGCTGGGAAGCAAACACAGGGCCTGGACTTGGTTTTCTTGACCCAGTCAGCTGCTAGAAGACTGATTTACATAACATTTACATAAAACTAGTGGGTGCTTTTTCTTTAATAAGTTTTCTTAAAAAGTCCGGTTTCTGTTCTCAAGGGCATTGCTTCTTTGTCCAGTCTCCTCCCCCTCCAGTCCTCACAACTCTTCAGATTTGGGGGTAACATTATCAATCCAATTTATTAATTATGTCCACAGTGAGGTGGAGAGAGAAAGGCCACATCCTCCCACTGCAGACCCTCTGACCATCTTGACAGCTTCTGCTCTCTCTGGGTCCCCTCAGCCCTGCCTTGGCTTTCCTATCAAAAGGGGGGATATTCTGCTGTCCTATGTGCCCTGAAACTAACACCCAAGGGGAGTCTGGAAATCCTCAGAGTTTCTCAGAGTTTCTCCCATCAAGGCACAGCAAGGGACAGAGAGGTCATGAGGATCAGGACAAGCAGGGTAAGCTGCAGCAGGGGTAGGAGAGACCAAAGTCCTTTACTGCAGAGGAAGGAACCACACTGTGGAGGGGAAATAAATAGAGGAGCCCAGGGCAGTAGTTCAGGACCCCCAGGGGCACACTGACTGTAGGAGTAGCAGGCGAGTGGGAGCCCCAGCACACTGGCTCCAGGCCCCTCGCCTGCCTCAGCCACTGAGGAAAAGACGCTTGTAGGCCTTGTTCATCTGCTCCAAGAAGATGAAGGTGAGGACGGTGTGGGGGCCCAAGCGGGCATAGTACGGTGTAAAGCCCTTCCACAGGCTGAAGAAGCCTTCGTAGCGAACGACCTTCACCAGCACATCCTAGACAGGCGGGTGGGCAGGACATTGGGGCTAGGACCTGACCTCTGGGGCCCTGGGCCTCATACCCCCGCTACCCTCATTGTTTTCCCAGGACATCCGATCCTCCAGCCCAACCCCCCAACCCTGCTTCCTCACCAGCCCGTTTTTGTATTCTGGCTTTCCGTCGATCATTCTCATGTTCTGGATCCTGAAGGAAAGGAGGTAGGGACATGAGATACACAAAGGGGGCCCTCCCAACTTTCTCCAGGCCCAGGCCTGCAGACTCACCGGGTCTTGACGATGTCCACGGGCATGGAGGCAGCAGTAGTGACCAGGCCACTGATCATGCTGGCACAGAAGTGGCATAGGATGTTGTCAGAGAAATAGCCTAGGAGAGGAGGATCAGGGAGTGGCAGTCAGCTCACAGCTGGCCCAGACCATTCTGGGAGCTGAGGGACCAGCTCTGGGTCTCACCTGAGTCCAATAAGAACTGCTTGGATTGAGAGTAAGAGGCGAGCTGGGCAGCATTGACGACGACCGCCCGAGCCATGGTAGGGATGCAGCCCTGGGTGGGGAGTGGGGGAGTCAGACATACCTGAGACCTGATCCCCTGTCCCTCAAGTCTCTAGCCACTTCACTCACCCTCCATAGTGTGGGGACCCCTTCCTCCCGGGCAATTCGAATCAAGGCATTAAACACGTTTTTGTAGCCACGGCGCTGGTCAGCTGGAAGCCTGGTGAAAAGGCAGGGGGAGGCCAAGCTCAGGACAGACCATCCTGCCCCACAGAAACAAAGAAAGGGAGGCCAGAACAGGTGAATGCTCTGTTCTAGACCTAAGATAAAAAATTCTTAATTCTTGATTCCAAGGAATGGGGCTGGGGGCAGACACAGACCTGGAACTCACCTGCCATCAGCGGTCATGCGGATAAGAGCCACCTCAGCTGGCGTTCCCACAAAGGCACCAGTTGCACCTGCAGTCATGCCAATCAGAGCCTTCAACAAAAAGCCGGGGGGTGTACCATCAGCCCCAGTCAGACGTTCAAACAGCACAGTATAGATGCCAAGACGAGTGGTGGTGTAAGTCGCCTGGCGTAGTAGGCCAGCTGACAGCCTAGAGAGTGAAGGGGTCAGTCGTATCAGGCCAAGGTCTGAAGTTGCCAACCCACACCCTCACACCCATTCTGTGGCCCCAATACCCGGTGTAAATGCCCCTCAGCCCTTCTGCCTTAAGGATACTGGTGAGGGCATGGAAGCTGGTTTTGTACTCTCGTGTCTTGGCTCCTTCCCCACTCAGCTGCATCCGGTTCTTCACCAGGTCCAGGGGTTGCACAAAAACTGTAGCTCCCATCCTGGGGTAAGACAGGGGTAAAGTCAAGGGCGGGCGTCCCAGATCTACCAATGCCTAATGGAGCCTGGCAACAAGGGTCACGAGGGGCAGGGCCTGCCTTGCAACTGACTAAATATTCAGGAGGTTGGTGAGCATGTATGTAAGTCTCCCCGTGTATCAGGAGCAATGGGTCCAAAAAGTCCAATAGTAGAGGAGCCATTCAATGAAAGTGCTCCATGCAGTTCCAAGGGGGTGGTCAAAAAGTGACCTGGGACTGCATGCAGCCGGACCCCTTCATGACCGGAGGAGCCATGCAGTGACTTGGAACTCCACACAGCCAGGCAGAGCCAAGCAATGGGTTGAGAAATTCAGGTAGCTGCCCAGTGGGAGCCGTGCAATGATCCTGCATGCAGCCTAGTAGGGGCCCTGCAATGGGTAAAAAGACCCTGGCAACCCATCAAGGGCTGAGGACGGCGCTGACCCCGTGCCAGCTCGATATTCTGCAATAGACACCAACATGAACTGGGCCCGGTTTCTTGCACCCATCCCTTCCTCCTCTTTCCCATCCCTGGGGCCTGAGCTTACCCGGCCAGGCCCCCAAACAGGAACTTGACCGACTTAGGAGAGGTACGGGGTTTCCCGTCCATCCCGGTGGTCCCGGGACTCGCCGTCGCCGCCATCACTACTCGATGGCCCTAGACACACAGTCCCGTGCGCGCGCGGCCCCGCTCGCGCCCAAGGTGACACCTTGCGCGCAACAGGGGCAAGGGCGCGCGCGCACACCTCCGTAGCTCTCAGGTCCAGAGCCAGCTGAAAGCTAGCGCAAGCGCAGGCGCAGGAGTACAGCGCAAAGGTGGCTGGGAGTAAAGCGGAGCTGAAGGAGGAGCTCTAGGATAAATGCGTGAAGGGGTGTAGCAGATTTAGGAAGCCAACCCATAGACGCAGTTTTTACCTAATTGAAATCGCGGGGAAAAAAAAAATAGATTTGAAGATCTCGCGAGATCGAGTAAGCTAGGCTACCCTGGAATTAGGAGGCCTCTCGCGATAAATAACAGCAAGATTTTTTTAGCGGGGGGGGGGGGGGGGCGGGCAGTGTGGCGAGGACTCTCGCGAGACTTTGAGGGTACAGCTGTGGCGCCGGCGGCCCAAGGGGAGAGAGGTTTGTGAACTGGTCAGCTCTAGGGTCCGGGCTGTAAAAGGGAAACAACTAGGTTGTCTTCTGGTACTTCGGTGCTCCCTTAATCTACACAGGCACTCCCACATCTAACTTTTATTTTAAACGGCCTTTTAGGACCGGAAGTCTCATCTTGAGCGTCCAATGCTGGAAGCAGCCTGACTTTCTTTACCGGAAACCCTTTCCCGGGCTTTAGGAAGACGGCCCACCTGGCCGGAAGTCCCACCTCCTTGAGCTCCCCCACCCTTCCAGAAGTTTTTCTGTCACCTGTGTTTACCTCTCTCCCCTTCCCCTGTTTTATTCTTATACCAGGAAAGGATACGTTTAGTGTCTTTCTCACAGGTTCTCTATACGCGTTGGGTACCTCACTCCCCTAGCCGTGGTTTCTTCCGTGCGCCCCCATGTAGCTGGAAAGGGGGACCTGGGGGTGGTTGGACCCCTGGGATTCTGTAGGGGCGGAGAGGTCGCAGAACTCCGCTTCTGCCCCTGCTACCAGTTCGCGGCCTCCTCAACTTCTTCCCCTCTCGCTGCCATGCACCTTGCGGCCTTCCCGCTTCCTGTAGTTGTTGTGGCCTCTGTGCTTTGGGGAGCTGCCCCCATCCGGGGGCTCATTCGAGCGGTGAGTCTAAGGGGCAGGTGGGGGGAGGGCGCTGAAGGGAGATGTTGCAGATTGAAGGGGAACCCGGAATCTTTTGTCCGCAGACCTCGGACCACAATACCAGCATGGATTTTGCAGACCTCCCAGCTCTCTTTGGGGCTGCCTTGAGCCAGGAGGGACTTCAGGTGATTTTATTTGCTTTTTCTGTTTCCCTAAATCTTCCATCCTGGGTGGAGGTTGAGGAGCTATGCCCTTGGATGAAGCCAGAGGTAGGAAAAGAGTCAAGTTAGGAAGTGCATTAGGCACATATAGTGTGGAATCCAGAATGTAGAGGGAGAAGACAAAGTCTACTCCTCGAACTGTGAGCACTGCGAGGAAGGCTTAACGTGGACCAAGAGCAGGGAGAAGTGGTGCTTATCAGTAGGGTCTTGGGTCAGTTGCTGGTTTATGTGACATTGGACTAGTTAATTAGCTCCCTGGGTCTTTGTTTTACTGTAGCATGGGATAATGATATAAGTTATATCAGGATTATTGTGAGGATTAAATTAGGTAAGCAGGTAAGCAATTTTGTAGTATTTTGTTACAAGAACTACCACACAAAAACTGGACCATAGATATCAGTGTAGTTGTTTGTAAGGTGGGTAATTGGAAAGTTAAAGGGAGAGATGTTAAAAAACAAGATCCTATTGAATACATTTTAAAGATTTTATTGGTTTTATTTAATGATTTGTAAATTAGGCAGTATCCCATGTAGCAAATAGAAAGGAACTCCAAGAAGCTGTACCAACTGAGACTTTTATAGGCAGAAGGGAGCAAGACAAAAGGAAGTTACACTAGCAAAGAGCTGGTTGGTTGTGGCAGTCACTTTAGGGAATGGCAGGGGTCTATCAGGCAGATTACCTCACTAGTGCTGACCAGGTAATTCCAGAATGACTAGTTTAAGATTCCATTCCTGGGAGAAACTAAAACTGTAATTAAATTAGGTGTTAGGTCTCGTTTGGTGACATGGGGCTTAGCATAAGTGACTCCATTTTGGGCACGCTGTCTCATTTAACAGAGGTGGATATATTCTGTATGAGTTTGTACTGGAGAAAGGAATAGGAGACAAAACTTAAGGAAAGTGACATAGGTGAGGAGAAGCTATGTACAATCATGGAGAAACTGGGAAGCAGAATTTGAATTAGCTTGGAGTGTGGCATATGGTTTAGCTCATCTGGGATAGGGAGAGAGATAATGGGATGGTCTGGTAAAGGGATGTTGTTTCGTATAATTTTATCTTTAGGAGGCTGAAGAGAGGTAGACTTCTGAGTTGGGTGGGTTGCTGAAACCCCAGAAATGAGAAGGAAGTGGAGGATAGAGAACATGCAGTATGTGGGAGCCAGTGTGCCTGGTAGGCTCTATGGGGAGCAGAATCTAGGAAGGTGAAAATCCAACTGTTTTTTACTTTTCTTCTCCAGGGCTTCCTTGTGGAGGCTCACCCAGCCAATGCCTGCAGCCCCATTGCTCCACCACCCCCAGCCCCGGTCAATGGGTCAGTCTTTATTGCACTGCTTCGAAGATTCGACTGCAACTTTGACCTCAAGGTTGCTGAATGTGGAGTGGGAGCTGGGAAACTGAGGGCAAAAAAAGGAACCGGGAACGAAGGGAGGCAAGGCCTATAATGTATTCTTATTCCCTGCCTTGTCCTCCCCTAGGTCCTGAATGCTCAGAAGGCTGGGTATGGCGCTGCTGTAGTACACAATGTGAATTCCAATGAACTTCTGAGCATGGTGTGGAATAGTGGTAAGGTTGGGGCATCTCTGAATAACTGAGGCATCTCTGAATCACTCAGTAGAGCTCAGATTAAAGAGATGGTGGGTGGGCTAAAAGCTTAGGGAAAAGAAGTCAATCCTTTGGGTGGGATGGCACAAAAGAACCAAATGCCAGTGTTCCCAAGGATTTGGTTGTAGAGGGGTGAGTCCTCAGTGTAATGCCCTGATCCCCTGCAGAGGAAATCCAGCAGCAGATCTGGATCCCGTCTGTGTTTATTGGGGAGAGGAGCTCCGAGTACCTGCGTGCCCTCTTTGTCTACGAGAAGGGGTAGGATGTTTCCCTCCTCCCCAGTCTTCCTTCAGCACTTTCCATGTTGATCTGGAGCCTGAGCCTCAGGCTCTTCATACTCTCTGCCTCTTGTCTTTTTTTCCACCCCTTTCCATCCTTGGGCCTTGTCCAGAGCCAGTTAATTTGTCTCACTTCATCACTTTGCTTTTCCTGCCTCCTTTGACACTGGTCTTCCTTTTCCTAGAGCTCGGGTTCTTCTGGTCCCGGACAATAGCTTCCCATTGGGTTATTACCTCATCCCTTTCACAGGGATTGTGGGACTGCTGGTTTTGGCCATGGGAGCAGTGATGGTGAGTAGCTCAGGGAGTGTGATAAGAGCTGAGGCCTTTAAAACCAGTTTGGATCTGGGGTTTAGAGGTGGGGGTAGTTTGTACTGGGTTGCCCAGTCCTGTTCCCTAAGGCTGATCTGATCCATCCACCCCTTTTCTAGATAGTTCGTTGTATCCAGCACCGGAAACGGCTCCAGCGGAATCGACTGACCAAAGAGCAACTGAAACAGATTCCAACACATGACTATCAAAAGGGTGAGAGGGCTACAGGAGTGGAAGGCCTTTCCCATAGCTTTCATGGTTCTGAAGTTTTGAGCCCAGAAGGTGAGGAGGAAAGAAAGATGGTAGGAAGATGCCAGCCTGAGGTGCTACCTTTCCTCTTATACCCATCTATACAACGAGGATGGGGCAAGAACACCAGTAGATGGGAAGCAAAGATGATTAAATGGAGTAGTTGAGGGGGAAGATGGAGGACCAACCTTGCTTATAAGGGAGGTGGAGAGAACAAAAATGGAAGATGTGGGGAGGATTTAGCCTGAGAAGAAACTGGTGAGGATGGGCTCCCAGGTCCTTAGGCCCAGGAGTCTCTAATGCCCATATAAGGTAGTAGCAGAAGCCCTGCCCTCATTTCCGCTCCTCCCACTCTATCTCCACCCTCACACCTCCCCTCAAAACCCACTTCCCTTCTTACCTCTGCTTTTCTTTGTCCCTTCCAACCCCCAATTTCTCCTGTTCTACCCTGGCTTTGTCCTGCAAGGCTCAGTCTTAGCTCTACCCTTGGCTCTAAGGAACCAGGGAAAATACCTTTTGCAAGGTTTGGCTCCACACTGGCTCAGTAAAGAGACTCCTTTTTGCCTCCCCCAGGAGACCAGTATGATGTCTGTGCCATCTGCCTGGATGAATATGTGGATGGTGACAAGCTGAGGGTACTCCCCTGTGCTCATGGTGAGGCCCTCAGTTCCTGTACCCATGTACCCACTCTACGAGCAGACACCAGGTATTTCACCTCATTCCTCTTGATAGCCTATCACAGCCGCTGCGTGGACCCCTGGCTCACTCAGACCCGGAAGACCTGCCCCATCTGCAAGCAGCCTGTCCAACGAGGTCCTGGAGATGAGGAGCAGGAGGAAGAAACTCAGGGGCAAGATGGTGATGAGGAAGGGGAACCAAGGGACCATCCTGCCTCAGAGCGGACCCCACTTTTAGGCTCTAGCCCCACAGTTCCTACCTCTTTTGGCTCCCTGTCCTCAGCCCCTCTTGTTTCCCCTGGGTCTTCAACAGATCCCCCACCCTCTCCTCCCTCTTCAACTGCCATCCTGGTCTAATTCTCTTCTAATCACCCCATCCCTGGTGACCTATTTTGCACAGTCTGTCTATGTTGAGGGATGGACACTTTTTCCCTAGGTTTTTCCCTTTACCCAACCCCTTCCTTTTGAGGGGGTTGGTGCAAAGGGACTGGGTCTTCAGTTACTGGGTTAATAAAGTTGTTTTGTCAACTAAAGGGGGAAGGTCATTTTCATACAGGTGAACCTTACCTATTTGGGGAATTGCCCCCTGCCTTTTTTGCCATAAAGGGGCAAGGAACTACTAAGACTACTAAGTCTACTAAGACTAATACAGTCATGAGGATGCCCAGCAGGCATTTGTTGTGAGTCAGAGACGGAACTCCACCCTTAAGATGACTCAACTGGCCCTGCCTTGCCCACAGGTCTGGCCCATTCCCTGGTCTGGGTGGCTGTGTTCCATTTCCCACTAATTCAGCGGGCACACTGAGGACCTAGG